CGGACGTTTTGGTTGTTTTTAAACAACACTCTCCCATACTCTCCCCCTTACCTGACGAAAAAACAATCGCATATGTTCGCAGCAAAGTAGCTCAGGTGACTTGGCCCGAACATCTGCAACTCTTGGTCTTGGGTGAATCTGTTGATGTTCACTGCTTGGATGGTATCGAAGTAGTGCCGACTCTTCGATGCCTAGCCTGCGACAGAGTTCTGGTCTCTTCGGACAGCCATGAAACGTGAGGGAGGCCGAAGCTCTGAGAGCACCCGAGAAGCTCAGCGGTGAAGCAGCAAGAGACTGGGACTCTATAGAAACAAGCAGAAGACCCACGTTAGACACCGGCCGCAAGAAGAGGCAAATGAATAGGGACAGAGCCTGTGGCTTCTTCTTATCCTGTTGGACAGAGAGTATGGATACACGCATTGCCTCGATCCATACACCTGGGACGGTTCAGCTTTGGATTCGTCACCTGAGCCATGGGAAAAGAAGATTGTGGACCTGGGAATGGCCCATCGCCATGGCACGAAGACTAAAGACTCGAACCTGCAGATTGTTTCGTTCACTCGTTTCAGCCGACACCTGGACCCTTGTTCTGTGTCTCCCAATGAATGGTCTTGGAACAGTGCTGACGCATCATATGGTACAACAAATTATGCACAAACTCGATATAAACTCGATCTTCGCAGGGCTTCATTGGGTTTGGCTAGCAGGTTCAGATGTGCATTGTCTGGTTTTGGCAAGTCAGTGGTTTCTTCCTATACCCCATGTTACCTGAGGACAAGCTCCATGTGGTTGATGTGCCTTTGAAGCAGTGTCCCAAGTTTGACCGGAAGGGACAGGATCTTTTTTCATGTGCATCTTCGAATTTCCCCAATGCGAGCCTGATGGATTGTCCAATTCTCATTTCGGTCTCCAAAATCACAGGTCGAAGAAGTGTAGCAGCACCTTCAAAGAGGTCACCTGGCTGGAAGCCCCTACACTACTGAGGGACCTCCATGAAGGTCCACCCCTTGAAGGTCCAGGTAGCCTTTGGTGTTTGGGTTATGCACCTGTTCAGGGCGTGAGATGATGAAGCACTCGCTTCTTGATTTGGATTCTCCACACGAACGAAGGGCGTCTCAAGGGGGGGTCCCAACATGGGGCGACCGACTGGGGAGGTCGAAGATAGCTAATCGAACTTTGTGGAGCCCCAGGTTCGTTTGGAGAGCCTCAGAGCTCTCCCTGGCTTCAACATGCAACGACCTGCCAGGAACAGTTGGTGGATGGCTCACCAACAGATGCAGAGGCCCTGCCGGGCCCTGCCGGGCCTGCCGAGCCGGAAGGTGAAGATGCTTTGGGGGACATGATTCTCAAAAGCTAGGAAACCTCTTGTGACATGCTCCTGGGCCCTTTGGCGCGCCTGTTTGTGCGAGCCCAACTCTGACTGACTCTTCGAGGGCCCCAACTGTAAGGTGGAGCCAGATTGTTTGCGCGCAAGTCCACCTTTGTACAGATCTCCCAAGTCCACCTTTGTGTCCCGCAAGTTGGCAGCGTGGGAAAACACATGGATATCATTCACTTCGGAACGGCAACACATGGATATCAGCAGGCTGGCCCTGCATTGCTGGATGAAATAACAAGAAAACACATAGATACTTGCACACAAGCCACGGGAAAAGTATATGAACAAGCCAACCAAACATGTTTGACAAAACACGGGACTTCGCAAAAGTGTCTAAATATGTGCATGTACTTTGTGTTCCAAGTATTGTAGCAAAAAGAACAATCGGATCGAACCATAGATTGAATGAAGGGTGAGGTCCCTATGGTACTTAGGGTTCCGGTGCTCCCAGGAGTTGAATCCTTCGACCCTTCGATCCTTCGACCCTTCGACGCCCCGGTGCCCGACACCGTGACGCCGCCAGGAGAAGACGTCGCCGGGTCGCACGGAGCCCCGGAATCCGTCGGCCGCACCAGCTGCCCGGGTCCGGAGGCTGGTCGGAGCCGCGACTCGAACGGTGCACGGCACGGGTTCAGTGGGAGGGCTTTCCTCGTGAACGCACACTGAACTCGTGGAAAAAGCCGAGCGACGAGCGACGGCATATTTCAGGCGGGTCAAGAAAGCGGTAAAGAAATACCAGATATTTCGTCATAGTGACACGAACTAACGTGCACTGCCGCAGCAAAACCTCGAGGGTTTTTACTGAATTGTAAGGAGATGGCCAGTAGACTTTGGGGATTCTTGGGGCGACTTTGGTGTCAGAATCGGCGTTCTGATGTTAGAGGTTCTGATGTCGGTTAGGACACCTTCGCTGACAGCGTAGCACTTGGAAGTCCCTATTTGAGGCACAGGCGCGAACTTCGGGGCTTTGTGGACGGAAAGTCATGGAGTGATTCTACCACAAACGTGACACCCTGAACCTTCATATCCCAACAATCCCAAGTGGTTGATAGTCGTTTGCCTGGGGTTTTGGCTGTACCTTCTTACGGAGCTTTCACCACCAAGCCGATTGACATCCCCCACCAGAACCTAAAGCCATGGTTTGTGAACTTGTTATTTTCCTCTTGAACCTCAGGATCAGCAAACAGAGGGCTTGGAAACAGGATTTACACCAGGTAAATCATGTTTGTCGCATGAGATTTTTGCTCGGGAGTGGTGTAAGGAAAAGCTGTGGTCACATAAGCTATGCATATGACATAGCAGGTTATGGCTCATTTGTCACCTAGCTAATCCCAAAATATCACCACAAACCTGATATTTCCCAAGCTTGGACTGTTTTATCACTCATTGTTGGCACAGAACAAAGAAGCATTTGTTTTCTTCCGAAACCTGCGCCACACTACTTTTAACTTTATCTCTGAACAATCCGCACGGTCGATAAACATCTCCCTGAGGTTCCTTTTTAAAATTGTTTAAAAAGTGCATTTGGGATCTACCCTTTTCCATCCCCAAGGCGCAGAGAAACATGGCGCCACTTGCAAGGCGCCACTGGTTCGGGCTTCAGGTCGAGGTGGTTGGGAACAAAGAAAGACACGTTTTTCAACCCTAGAGGTGAAAGACCAGATTTGACTGGAGTTGATCATGCTGGTCTACGCACTACTCGGAGCTTCAGTGTTCAGGACGGGTGCACATCTGCGTCTTTTGTTCAGCGTCTCCACCTCCTTGGCGCTTGAGTAAATGGTCCTCCACTGGTGGGGCACTGGAAAGCATGTCATCCACTGGTTCCCTCCGGTCCGGGTCACTGGAGGGTCAATTCCTACGAACCGAAAAGCAGTTGAAACCGAAGACAATGATCCTTAGACTGCCAGCATGAGGGGCACATGGACGTGGTGAGTTTTGCTCCTCAGCTTCCAGCTCAGCTTGGACTGTGTAGGCAATGCTGAGGGCCCAAAACGATCAACACCTGCATGGCCCTAAGGAAAATCGGAGGTGAGTTAGTCAATATATTCTCCCTCCAAACGAAGTGGACAATCCGTTTTGTAGAGAAAAGTATAGACAGACAGTTTGTATAGATCTATGTTTTTTGTGGCTGTTCACTTCCATGATTGGAGGGACTGTGTATCCAACTTATATATGTGTTGTTTGTTTGATGCTGGCAGGTCCACCCAGCATTCGGTCATAGAATGGGTGGAGGCCATGGACCAGCGAAAGCCAATGTGGATGGGTCGTTCGTTCGAAGGTTGAACGAAGAAGGAACGGAAATGGACTGAAAGCCCTCAGAGATGTTCCTTCCATCTCCAACTTCTCCAGATTTAGGTGGTGTTGGATCAACCGGGCGGCCGACTGTCGACACCCAGGGTCGACGAGAGGTGGGCTGGGATGTGGGGTGGATGGGTGGACATGGGCTCCCAAGATGAATGTGTGTTTTTGTGTGTTTTCAAGAACCACCAGGAATTTGGCAAGATGGCTCACGTGGTCAGGTGGTGTATTTCCAAGTAGGCAACCAATGGTAACATGGAACCCTCTGACTTGTTCCAACTAAGTGAGGTGCCAAGCCTCCTCACCCTGAGGCACGTATGGTTCCATGGACGAACGACGCACGAGAAACACATCTATACTTCTTGCATGGGTAGCTGGGTCAGTCTATTGAAGCCAGTCTTGAAAAGTGGATCAAGTGGGGGAAGAACATCTTTCAACCTGTATCCGTGTTTGTTTTTTTGCATAGTCCCATTGCGGCCGCAGGTTTCAGATGGAGTGATACATGTTCATACCAGCAGCCAGAGAACACGGATGCTCTCTCCAGTTTCTTTGCACAGAAACTGTTCTTCTACCATGACATTGGGAACGTGTAGCACTTCCCGTTGCGGCCGTGTTTACCGTCCGGACGGTGAGTACGTGAACTTTGCTTGGGATCCCTAGCTAGGTATTTGTTGTTTGTTTTCGGACGGTGATGGTTTCGGATCTGTTTATTTTCAACCCTATACTTGGGGATGATTGGACCCTCACTAATATGGGTCCTTCAAGTGGGTTGAACACACCAACCAGGTGTCCTTTGATGGCTGGAGTTGGATGCTTGGGAGGGTCCTGCCATTGGTCCAGGACCATCCGGCCATCAAGTCCCTGAAAGGCCGTAAGACCATGCGACTTCCGTCCGTCGTCACCTCCGTTCGACCATGTGAAAAGGAGGTACCTAGACTCAGACTCTATGGGTTTCTTAGACACGGCTTGGAGATTAGAGGGTAGGCCAGACGGCCAGAGCATCAGGCAACTGCTTGTTTGATTGCAGCTTGCATACAGAACTTCATGTTTGCCTGCTCCACTGGCTTTAAAGATTTTAAAGATTCTTTGCCGTCCTGGTCTTGGAAGCTTTTGGATTGTGAATACTATTTAACACTCCTTAAGCCCTCTCCGCTTATAGGTATGAGTTTGGTCAAACCTGATTGTGAACATATCCAGGTAAATGCCGTTGTAACATATTGAAACGCTTGAACATTGTTGCGGGTGCTACTGCAGAAGATGCTCACTGGATAATTCTTAGACTCCGCAGGAGATGTTCCAATCAAGTTTCCATGAGCGTGGGTCAATAAAAAAAGTAGCTTTCACTCTTTGTGCACGTTCATAACAGTGGTGAGCTAGTTTCGAACCCTCCGAGTTGACGTAACCGTTCATCCGTTGACGTAACCCCTTCGAACGACCCGATGGGTCGCCACCGAAGCGTTGGCACATGTCCCAAGTCCCACACCCTGAGGGTCCACCAAACCCACCACGCCGCGAACAAAGCGCGCAACGGGTTGGGGGGGTTTGAGGCACCTGTGCCGGCCCGCCAGCCGTCCAAGTCACTCCTCCCCTCCGCGTCCTCGTCGCGTCCTGGAGGCTGCTGGTGTCATCGCTCTCCTGGGCGTCGGGGTCCGGACCCGAGCCTTCCGTGGCGACGGGTCGCTCGCGCAAGCATCAGGGGCGGTGACGAAGCAAGGGTTCGGTCGGCAGCCCCGCCAGCCGTCCTGGCATGAGGTGGAAGCTTCGCGGCTGCGGCGGTTTTGGAGTTCAGGACGGTTTAGGACCGTTTACGACGTGATTGGCCTCGGTTCCAAGAGCCAAAAACCACAGTGTTCGATCTGCAAAGCTCCGCGTGCTCGGCAATCACCTTCAATGTGAGGCCCAGGGGTAACTGTCGTAGTGTTTAAAGGGTTTACCGTCAACTAGGCATCCCACACTGGAAGATTGTGGTTCCTCAAGACACACCCATTTGTCTATTTGATATGTTCATCATTCTTGATATTTGACTGACTCTGCCTACTCAGCCACGCTCAGCCTACGGCCAGTCCAAAGAACTGGCCGCCGATGACATGGGTCTGTCAAACAAGAATATCTGTTGGACGCCTCCTTGGTTGAGCAAGTCCTCAATATTGGTTTTGGTGAAAGAACACGGGGATTCTGCAGGCGTTAGCAGAACAATCAACATCAATCGACTGAACCGAGAAAAAAATCGTAGAAAAGACATGTTCATACATGTTCTAAGGAAAGAAAAGGAGTTCTTCAGGGGATTCACCGTGATTCACCCCCCAAAAAGGACTTCACTTAATTTCAAAGGTGAAATTAAGAACTTAATAAAAGGACTTATAATGCACTTCCAGGATTATGTTCATGACCGTCCTTGAGACCCCCAGGATGTTCAGTCACAACAGAAAGGTCCTGTTTATCAGGTGACGTCTCAGAGACGGTCACAGTGAAAGAGGTCACGAACAGAGACGGTCCTGGTGGGTGATGTTTCACTAACTTCTCTCAGTGCATTTTGCATTCTCCAAAAAAACGACTTGTAGTAGGGATCGCCCCTCTTGGAGGATATATGTTAGCCACCATGCGGAGGTTTGATCATGAATAATAGACTATAGGTTTGGACTGGCAAGATCCGATCGGAAATAGAACCCATAACGGAATCACTGTTTAACGACTCTGGCTGCCTCTTCAAAAAAGTACCCGGATTGCACATCCTTTACCCAGACACTCCATGGGACTGCCATAGGACTGCCTCCCCAACCCCCAGTCAACCACCCCTGGCTTGATCGGCAGTCCCAGTCCCAGACAGGTCGTGTCTGGGTCAACTTCGATTCACTTCTTCCATGCCCACTGTATGCATACAGTTGAGAGGCCCACGAAGTTGAGAGTCGTAGACGACTGAAGGTTGACTGACGCCAGCGTCGTGCGACTGACTCGCGGTCGTGCTCTCCTGTTGGAGATCTCCAACGACTGACTGAGTGATGAAGGTCTTGGAATAGATCCTTTTGATGTGTGTCTTCTTGTTGACTTGCTGGAAAGAACCCCCAATTTGCGCCCACAAAAGACCCAGGAAAACGGCTGTCCACCATCGACCACCCACGAAAACGGCTGTCCAACAAGGCTGATCGCCGCATCGTTTTGGCCACGATCGGCTCCACCTGAGGCCAGTCTGTTCGCCTTGACCACAGCAGCGACTGGGACATACGACGTGGAGTTTCTCGTCGCGGTGGGCTTTTTGTTGCCCTCCTTTGCTCGGACCATCATGTCCTTCGTGAAGTTCGTTCGCCAGGTCGGTGTTTTCATCGAAACGGACATCATGTCCGATCGCTTCAAAGATCCCCGATGCCAAAGCTCCGGGTTGGAACCTGTATTGACCCGGTCATTCCCGGCTTTGGCACCTCCCAGACGCTCCGTTCACAGCCCTTGGGTCCCTCAAAACCGGGATTTGAGGGGTCCGACCCCTCCATATGAGGGTCCAGGAGCGTCTGGGCTCACAACATCTCAAATTCACTGAACTGGTCACAACGTCGGTCGCTCGGATCGCTCGGTGTCCGTGGGTCCCAGGGTCCCAGAGAAGCCAAGCATCGGACCCGATCGATGTGGTGCTGGACGCGCTGCGAGTTCGCACGCAGCACCGACGCACGACACTAGGAATCTATCAAGCTAACATCAGCAAAGCTCAGTTGAATTACGGAAGGATTCTGTCCAAGTATGTCCAAGTGAATCCAGGCAGGATCTGAATCTGGTGCACTTGGTCTGAGAGGTTTAGTATGGTTTAGTAACTAAACCCGACCTGAAGCATGGGTTGATGTTGAATGATGTTGACCACGACGTGCACTCAAGAATTCCACGGTCTTCATAGCGAAGCCACGGCATCTTGGACATTGGCGGTGCTCGATCTTTCAACGGCTATAATATACAGTCTTTTGGGGGGGGGTTCTGCAGGGCAATTCTTTACACAGAGCTTTACACTATGAAACATGAAGAGTTGGGCCCATCCTTGATTGCCAAGCTAAAGAACAACATTGCCACAAGTCCTACATGAAACTCGTGAGAATCTGTGCACGTAAATCCCATCAAAAATTCGGCACGTCCTGACCTGATCCTACCTGCATCAATCCGGAAACAAGTCCACACATGCAGTGACCTGTTAGGTATGTTTCATGACCTGTAAGAGTAATACTGTTTTAAGAAAGGCCTTTATGATCCATCATCTACTACCGTTGCAGGGAATGGGATATGAGATACCCAATGCATGTGCATGTGGGGAAGTTTAGAAGCTGGATCGGCTTTGCCCTCATTGCCGTGACCCGAGAGTTGTGAAGCGGGCAGGAAAAAAGTAACTTGGACAGGTTGCTACTTGTGACATAAAAACTGTTAGGGTTGGCAGAACACACTGCCACACCATCTCAGTGTTCAACATCCATGGCCCAGTCACATCCATGGCCCATGGTGAGTTCACACGAATCAGACGCGTGCCACGTAGTTTGGGAGAACTGAAGGTTAACCCACCGCGTCGGATTTGGACTGTCCTCTCCACGGTGACCACACGAACGTTTTGAGACGATCGTTTTCTCTTGTCTCGGCCCCCAAATAGGTCGAAAAGTAGATCCCCACTAAAAATGGAATTGGACAACCAAAAGGATAAAGGACCAATTGTGTCCGTCCCGAGAAAAAGTAACTAAACATTGTTTTTTCATCATGTTTGTGTGAATGTGAATGCTACTGCTAGTGTTCATTTCCCCTAGGGATCCAAATAGCTCCTTAGAAGGTGTTTGGATCCTCCCAGCGTCTACATAAACGTGCCTCCAATCACCCTCAAAAAGAGGGTCAATGTGGATCCATAGGCTTTGTTGGGTGACATGGTGTGTATTTCAATAATAAGACTTCCGATCGGCTGGGTAGACTGGTCCATCAATTTTCCTTATTTCTTTCAGGGTTCGTTAAATAGGGAGGTCTCCCAATTTTAGTACATCACTGACTCACATGCAAAACACCTCCGGTCACTCACCAAGTTCCAAAAGGGCCTGCTGACTCACCATGTGGCGAGGATGGGGCACATGTTCCACAGTGTCCAAGCCTCCAACCTCCCGAAAGCCGCCGAGGTCCATCAACTGCGGCCATCCAACGGGTTGCCCCAGTTTTTCCCCAAGGCACCGGTGGTCGGACGTGCCGGGCTGTTCATGGGCCGTCGTTTCGACATGCTGTTCACAGCGATTCCGCGAAGCTCCGAGCTTGATGTACCATCTATAAACCCTCCCAGAGAGGACATGTGGTGACGAAGGAAGGACACACTCGATGACAGCAGGCTTGATGGACAAGACATTCTTTCAAAACTCCTTAACCGAGCTTTCTTTTGTTTGGGATCTGTTGACCCTTCGCTTCAGCGGAGAAATGTCCCGTCCAACTCTCACGCGGAGAATCGCCCGCGATGTGCTCGCGAACGGCCTGACTGGCAGGACAGCAACCTGGGCGGTCTACAGGAGCTCCAACTGTGACTCGGCACCAGCGGCACCGCATTGTCTCCCGAACACCGCCTGTCTTCTCTGCCGCGGCCTGCGGAGACAGGCACTGAAGACGCAAAAAGAAAGCAGTTGGGACAAATAGCGTCGAAACCCCGACAGTTGGGAATGCTTCAGACATCCCTGAATCGTTTCTGGAGGGTCATGACTCCATGATTCATATCGGTGGAAAAAAACACCCAAATTGGGTGGTCTTGTATGCAAGCCTCGAGGGACCCCTTTCCGACTTGTTCGCTTCACTGTAGTATTTTACCAAAAAATATGAAGCTATCCTTAAGGTAAAACAGAACATGTCTGATCTGGATTATGGACTTCCATTCTGCTTGAAACAACGACAGTCTTGGGTGTGGCACTGGTTTCTGCCAGCTGGTTTTCTTGTGGCAGTTCATTCAGCTTCGGTTTTCCTGTGGAGTTTGCAAGCCAGAGGATTTCAGATGTTTATGCTTTTTGCTTGTCAAACCAAACGCTTGGGAACTTGATGGACCTGGGGATGACTTATTCTGGACCTGGGGGTTACTTTTCTGGTGGCCAGCCCCGTACAGAACACCTGAGTCAGAGGTCCACTGTTCTGGACAGCTCGAAAAACTGGTAAAACTGGCCAGCTGTCACCAAGGATTCTCAAGGTCGGAGGGTACATGCGGTTGTTTGGTCACTTGCCGATTGAAGGAAGAAACAGGGGGGGACTCCAGCAGATCAGCCGAGCCAAGTTCCAACTTTCCCGACTCGCCTCCACTTGAGGAGTGTGAATCATGTGCATTGCATGGTAAGATCAAGCCAATCCTTTTACCCCACCCAGGTGGCGCAAGATGTTTTGTCCTTGAACAGCAGGAGCCGGAGTCCACTGGAGTCCAGGCCCACACCAACTTTTTGAAGGGCTTGAGGTAGGCTGAGACCATCCAAGCTGAGAGTTGGGGCCTGTTCATCCTGCTCCAGACCCACTCCAGACCCACTTCAGACTCACCTGAATGGGACACCCCTAAGGCGATTTGGCAACGAGACCAGCGTGAACATGCAGGCGTTTCGACTCGGCAACGATCGACGTCCGTGCGAAAGGCGCGCAAACATAAAGACTCTTCAAATTGCGCCAACACGATAATTACCTCATATTACCTCAAATTTTGCCAGGTAGGTGGCACAGTGAATGCAGAAAAGAAACCGCGTGCATTCAAGAAAACATCCCAAGCGCATATCAAAGCAAATTGGAGAGGTAGATGGCGCAACTAGGAGCACAGGGTTTGTGAAGCGTTCCACTTTGACACAAACTCTATGTAAGATCCGCCCATTTTCGGGATCTGTGACTTACTTCACGTCACTTAGACCTCTTGTGACCATGAACTTCCATCGCTTCCCATCGCTTTGCATCGCTCCAGCACGGTGTTGACTGCCGCATGTCCGTGGACGGTTTCTTGCTGCTTCCACGGTCTTCTGGGACGTTTGAGGCATTTTTTGGGGGGGTGGCCGGTGGCCTCTATTGCACGTGGATTGGTGACTGACCAGAAACCAAATTTGTGAGTTGCCTTGAGGTTTCTAAGGAAGGCAGAGGCTGCATGGGGCTCTGCCAGGGGCTGCAATTGAGTTCAGTCTTCCAGGCTTTGAGTTTCTGATCTTTCGAACCTGAAAAAGGAGGTGCTTGACAGACTGAGATCATGACCGAGATCAGCCAGGATTCCAGCAGCAACAAAAACACAACACCTTCCAAGGGGTTACCAATCGAAGCCCCACCTCTTGTGGATCTCCATCGCCAAATTCTCGGAAGGTCCACGAGCCTGGAACACGTTTTGTTCCAGATGGCCAAAACCGGAGTCCAACTGGGAGTCCAATTCACCTAATATAACTAACTGGTCAACGAGTCTCGAAATCTCATCAGGTCTCCCGAAAGGATCTCGAATTCGGTTCGGGACATGCAACCAAATGGAACGGGATGTGTGAACCAACCTGTGCAAAGCATCTCCCGTGTGTAAATTGACCATCTCCAGTTGCCCATCTCCAGCTGGCCTCGAGGTAGGCAGCTGCAGCTAGGAGAGGACCACATCATGAAACGCAAGAGTTCGACCACGAAGCTTCTGAACAGGATCTTTTGTGCCAGCAGTCACCTTCGGCAGGAAGTCGGGATGCCCCTGTCACATCCACAGCCCCTGGATGGGACTCAAAATATCTCAAAACCACCCCGTACTTCACGTGACTCCTGGTGTCTTTCCCTGCTCGGCCTTTTTGGGTCGTCCGAGCCCCGAAGTCGGCGACGGCGAAGTCGGCCCGCCCGACAGGAGCTACACACCCGTATCCCAAACACACTCCATGGGACTGGAAGAGAACTGCATACGACCCCTGAAATCCGGCCCAATGTATTGACACATGGAGTGTATATCTTCCACCTCCCAAGGTCCTCGATCTCTCCGAGCTCCCCCGACGAGGTGGACGAAGACCGAACACGTAACCGGGTGACTTCCCGGTTGGCGACGGGTTGGCTCGCGTTGGCAGGAGATGGCCATGTGCAATGGACAAGTGCAGACCTCCTGCAGGCGCGCGACACGTCGATGGAATTCCGGATTCTCGATGCTCTCCAAGCATCGTATTTCGACGCTTCGTTTTGGGGGTGAAAGCTTCGAACGTCTTCCGTGGCAGTCCAAATCCACGGCTCCCCCGCGGCCTGTTCGGCTCCAGCACGGTTCGTCGAAGTCGAAGTCTAGTCGCGGCTTCTAGCCTTAAGCCCAAACTGTGGATGGTCACCCTGTGGTTTGGTTTGGGAAGGGGGCTGGGAAGGGCGTGGTAAGACTGGCAAGATGAACATCTTGAGAATCTACCAGTAACAAATGAACACAATTGAAAACATACAAAAACCGTTTTCACGTCGCCAGTTCTCATATTCCTCCGCGTTCTTTTTGGGATTCGGCGCTTTTGGATGAATTTGACTGAAATCAGGGCACAATGGCATCTCGGTAAAAAATTATGCCAGGGGTTCCTCACGTATGATCTTTTCAAAGGCATTCATCTATGCAAGCTTGTAGAGTGTAGAGCTTCCTGAACACGGTAGACCCTTGCTGCGACAATATGCGATGAAGTGGCGTTCCAAGACCTCCAAAGCAAACAACACAATGAATCTAGACATCGCAAACCACATGCCCTTTTTGCCTGAAATCCACACTGTGAAATAGTGGATTGTGTGAATGCAAACTTAACTTGACAGGAAAGGGCTAAACCAGGGCAAGTTTGAATGTTGCCAGCAATCAAGGTTTCTAAAACAAGTAGACCAAAGCACCCTGCTCCACCAACACCCACACTTTCCAAGTTCTCCACACAGCACCTTCATGAGTTTCGACGCCTTTTGCACAGCGGTCTCCGGCTCTTCTGAAGAGGCACAGCTCAATGAAATCTCAAGTGGAACCTCCGCCTCCTGTAACTGTAACTAAAATGGAAAAGGGCTGACGCTCTGAGTAAAAGGAGCCCAAAATATACAACAATTTGCTAATTGGGATCTGGTTGCTTTTGTTACTCAATTATCCTGTCTCTTTTCTCACTTTCTCTTGTACGTATCATTGCTGCTGTGTGTGTGTGTGCAGAAGCGAGTCCTTGCACTCTCCGTTGTCGTGGATCTCCGAATGGCCGCTGCCGCGACCACGAACTCGCACTTTGCAAGTGGTGCTCGCAATCCATTGCACGTTGCACCCATTGCGTCCGATGATGCGTGGGACCAGTTCGAAGTCCTGTCAACCATTCCAAGTTCAAAATGGACTCCTCAAGAAAGCAAAGCTGAGTGTTCTGTTTGTTGGTCTGTGATGTACCTGTGGGTTTCATTTGGTGCTCATTTGGAGACCCACACTTGTTCAAAGGTACAATGACTATAAAGCAATTAAATACCGACATTTACTGACCAAAAACATACCAGTTGGCACAGTAATTTCACCATCCAAAACGCGCGACGGACTGAGGCCCTCGGCTCCTCGTGTTGCTCGGGATCAAATCCCGGAAAAAGGATCTTGCACGTGGATCGTTTCGCTTTCGAATTTGGACGCTTTGGTCTGCCCTTCATCAGCGCTTCGCCTTTCCCCTGTGGCAGGGGCGAACGAGGAGTCCTCAGCTAGCGGTGATGACCGGCGCCGATCTTCCCTCTTTGGGGGCTTGGAAGTATGATATGGTTCTGAGTGTTGTGCAGTCTTGCATGTCTCCAAACAGCTGGCCAAGAGGCAACGCCTTCTCAACAGGCGCCCTGAAGAGCTTGAAAGACTTGAGCGAAGGAAGCGGCAGCTTCATTGGCTGCAGGTCCTCGTGCAGAACGCGCAAGCAATCAACCCAATCCAACAACATCCAAAGAGCAGTATTAGACGCCATGGGCGCCCTACCGTGGTCACATTCTTTCACCTGTCTCATGAGTCTTCACGTCCGGAAGGATTTTCAAAAGAATCCAAGTCTTTTCCTTATCAGTTCGTCGTTGTCAAGTCTCCTCCCAATCTGAGCACACCAAGGTGGGAGATGCCATGGCCAATTTGGCCGGAACAGTCGGGAGTGGCATCCACAGTTTGGATACCTTGGAATCCTTACACCTGTGGACAGGGATATTTAATCATAATTAATCCATTGTTTGCGAGTGCTTCCACAGACCACACTTAAATGTCCCGACCTTCTTGATGTGTCCCCTACGAACGGCCAAGCCAGGCAAGGCATTTTCTCTTTGTTTGCTTCTCCGGATCACTCTCCAAAGAATGCTTTGCCCTTTCATGATCCAACCTCCCTTGACAAGGGCGGTTGTAGAACAGCTGCAACTCAGTCTGCAACTCATATTTGGTTCAAGAATATATAGGAAACCTCGACTAAGCGAAACATGGTTACGGACAATTGCGCCCGTACGCCAAATTATCAGGGATTACTACGCCGAATTATCGGGCGATTACTCCGAGATATAGGGATGACAAAACGTCGGAAAACTGTGAACAACTTGTCTGCCACGGTTTCACGCAAGGTTGCCTGGTGGGTTCACTGTGAGTTTATGTTGAATTACGCATGGTCCACGCACAGTCCTCTAGCTTTCGCCTTGGTGATGGCATAAAATCTCTCCCTTCATCGGGTTTGTTCGACAGCTTTGCGCCAAGGTTGCGCCGGGCCACAGAAACCATTTGGCATGTCTCCCAGGCCTTCTCTATTTCTATAATATTTTAATACACGGTTTCCTTGATTGGATCCATGGCTGGATTTATTTACAATCAATCCCTAAGCCAAACATGCTGGGCAAGAGCTAGGAACTGCTGAAGAGAAACACTGGGCGTGAACAGCCAGGGCACACCTCAAGAATGCCTGGTTCACTAGGTATTTGATCCCTATTATATAGAGGATTGTCGGGCGGAGTTATCATAAATCACCACAACTTGGATTGGTTGCATCTAATAAGCCAATCATCATGTTCAATAACTTCAACCAACAACACCGAGTCTAGCTTGGTTTTAGCCAATTACGCCGAACGCCCCTTTTCAGGGCACATTACGGGTAAAGGCGCTTTTGCTAAGGTGGCATACATGTTGGTGCACTTGGAGTCAGGTCACCGATCTTTCGTTCTGCGGAACCAACCACCGCGCGCAACCACCGCGCATGATGCGCTGCTCCATTCCGCAGTAGTCGTTCCGGCACCCGAGGCTCAGTATTACTGGTATTGGTGTCAAACCTGAATTCATGTCCTTTGGATGAAACCTTTTTGCCAGCGTCCAAAATCGACGGTGGCCTCTCCTCAAAGACAATCGCATGTCATGTAATTAAAAACCCGAGGCTCGGGGAAGGCTCAAACCAGTTCTTAAAAAGCTGTATGTGGTTTGTTCTTTTGCAAACCAGATGGAAGAATACAATAACTCTGGCGTTGTTGGTGGTTTTCTGAGCCTAAACCAGCTTGACTGCAACTTGGAGTCCTCCAGCGGAGCTGAGCGTCCTCCCAGCATTTGGCCCCGATGCTGGTTGCGACTCCTCGCTTTCGCAGAACCGGTTTCACGTTCTGTGGAGATGGGTCCAGTTTAGATTTTCGCACCTTACGCAGGGCCCTTTGAGCGGTTCAAAACAAGTTTGGCATCGGAGCCTCGTTTGCCGACGCCATACCCTCCGCGGCTGTCTGGCGTGCTTGGCACGAAGCCGGACCCGACCTCCGGCTGGGGATCACGACGTCCTGTGGTCCACCCTCCTTTCGAGCCACGCTGCCTGGCGGCGTAAGCCGTGGCCTGAAGGCTGGCTTGATCGGCATCCTGCTGATCTGGCTGGCAGCTTTCACCGAATTCGTCGGCTACCAGGAGGTGAAAGTTGAGCACCAGCTCTTGAACCCGAGCGACTTGGACAAGGACATTGAGGTCCCGCTCTTCACCTTCCTGGCAGCGATCCTGGGCCCCGAGGAGTACCTTTGCTTGCATTGGAAGCTTTGCCCAATCTACGCTTCAATGGCGGCTGCCCCTTCGACTTCGCTGAGCTCAGGAGTTCCCTTGCAGGAATTCCGTCGCGACCTGCCGCCTGGTTGGGCACCTGGTCTTGCTGACTACAGCCTGAACCAATACCTCCAGAAGCTGAAGCTCTGGTACCGGATCTACGACGGACCAGACGAAGCAGTCGGCCCTCTGGTCGCAGGAAGACTGCAAGGACAAGCTCAAAAGCTGGCGATGAATCTGCGCCTCATCCGCCCTGACGGAAACTTCGATGTGGGCGACAACGCCCTTGTGAGGCTCAGTGTGGACCAGGTCATTGACCCCATGGATGGTGTGACGATCCTCCAACACGCCATACCTTCAGGAGTTCAAGCTCTCGCTCACCAACTTCGTGAAGCCTTCGGCATGAGCGACCAAGAGCACACGACCTCGGCCCTCAACGCCTTCTTCGAGTTCAGAAGAGGAAAGCTGTCGCTTCAGGAGTACGCATCCGAATGGGATCTGAGGTACGACGAAGCTCAGACACGTGCAGGCCTTGACATCAACCCGGTCGCCAAGACCTACCTCTGGTTTCGCAATTCAGGCCTGCCGAACAAGTTCATCGAGGATGTGAAACTCCAGATCCAAGGAGACATGTCTCGCTTTGCTGAGGCCAAACGTCTTGCCCTTCGACTCAGTCAACGTGGTGAGAACTCCACCTTCTCCACCGACCTGTACGGTACCGTGGACGAGCCCTATGAGGACTACCACACCACAGATGACTGGTCTTCATGGCATGAACCTTGGCAGGAGACATGGTATGCCGATGAGTGGGCCGATGACGACCTCTACACCTGGTATGATGCTGAAGAAGGCTACTATGATGAGGAATGGTCCACATACCACGGCGAGTCTCCTTCGAGCGAATGGTACTCTCCTGAGGAGTACGACATGAGCGCACAAGATGCCTATGATCCTCCACCTCAAGCTGCCTCCTCAACAGACCAGAATGAAGATGCTTACTATGGCAAAGGAGGAAAAGGTGGCAGCGGTGGATGTCATGTTTGTGGCTCCAAATGGCATCATGCTGCACAATGCCCCGTCAAGACTGGCTCTCGTGAGTTTGGCAAGAGCAAGGGCAAGGGCAAGTTCAA